AAAAAGATATAAATGATGATAATAATAAATGAAATTATATATAATAACATAATAATGATGAAATATTCATTCATTCAACATAAAATAAGAAATAAGGAAATGACAATTGAATGAGAATAATTAAATTGATGAAAAATAAAAAAATTAACATTCTTATTACTGATTTAACCTTCTCCTTTTTCTTTTCTTTAATATACTTCTTATTCTATAATATCTTTTTCTTTCTTTTTTATTTTCTCTTCTTATTCTCTTCATTTTACTTCTTATTTTATTTTTCTTTCTTATTATTATTGTATGTTTCGAGATCGAAGGTGGCACGTCTGAAACACCACACATAAACCCTAGTACAAATTCATTCTTCGACACTCCCAGTTATTATCTGGTTATGATGGTGTATTTGAATTAGGAATGTATTAGGGAATGCTGCAAAGGGTGCAGCAAGAGAATACAGTAGAATATTACATGGATGTAATCTAAGAATCTACTGAAGTGTGGGTATGACTAAAAGAAGATTAGTCAAAGTAATATAGTAATAATAAAATATTTCCTTCTCTCATTCATAAAATAAGAAAAATGAAATTACTTAAAATTAAGGCAGAAAACAAACAAAGGCTTAAAAAGAAGAAATAAGCGAAGAAGTTTGAAAAACCTTAATAAGAAGAAATAAAAGAAAGAAGTGCTTTCCTCATTTTGCAAGATAAACCTAAATGATAGGTTAAACAAAGAGATTACTCTTTTTTAATAATAAGCGAAGGGATGGGATTAGTCTCCCCTGAGCTAGGAAGAATAGATGAAAATTCTATTAATACTTAATTAATTACTTTTATTATTCTTTTATATATTTATATTCTTTTTATATTATTTGTTTTTCATTGTTGTTTATATTTGTTTCTTGTATTATTTATCAAAATTATATTCATATATTCATTATCTTTTTATTTCTTTTTTGTTAGTTCTTTCATATTGTATATTTCTTTAATATTTCTTTAATACATTATCAAAATATATGTTTTATTGAATTTATGTTGAACAAAATATTAAATATAATCAATATTTTTATTCTTAATTATTCATTATTTATTATTAAATGTTGTGTATATTTATTATATTAAATTAATATGATGAATGAATATCAGTAATATTGTTATTTGATTTTAAAAAATAATAAATGAATATGAAATGATAAATGAAAATAATGAAATAGAATAATCTAACATTGAACAAATCAAATAAAGAAATATATTGAATATATTATTAATGTTACATTATCATTTATGATTTCAATTATTAAATAATAACATATTATTATTCATGAATATTTAATTGATATTTTACAATTTCATTTTCATTTTATTTAATAAATGAAATATAAATAATAAATGAATGAATAATAATTTAATATATGAAATAATAAAAAGAAATAAAAGATAAATAAGAAAGAAATATAATGTATTTAATATATAATATAATTTATTATCAAATATAATAATATCAAATGATGATTTATTTTTATTTCAAAATATTTTGCATCAATAAAAATGTTGCTAATTATTTTGCATCATTAAATTTGCGCTTTTTTATTTGTTTCAATAAAATTTACATCCTTGATTTTTCCTTCTTTTCTTCTTTTATCATCTCTTTTCTTTTATTACGCTTTATCTTCTTTACTTTCTACTTTATTCTTTCATCATCTTCTACTTCTTATTTTCTTTTTATTCTTTTATATCTTTCTTTCTCTTCTTTTTCAATTATTTGCTTTTTTTCGTTGCCATCAAAAACATGAAAGAATTAATATTTTACACAGAAAACGATTGTAGCACATTAGAAGAAGTAATTTGATTGTGATTGAAATGAAATCTATGATACCAATAAAGCAATTAAAGAAACTATGATAATCACCTCTCATTATGAAGAAAATCAAATTGTGGATAGATCTATTAATTGTCATTTTTACTTATCCTAGGTATATTGTCTGAACTTAACTTATTTTATATTTTCTTTTATTGAGTATTATGTAGTATTACTTATCTTCTTATTTTATTTATATTATATCATTTATACTCTTTATCCTTGTCTTTTATTGTTATTATATTTTATACCCCCATTTCTATTCTATAACTTTATATTTATTCATTACTTCTTTTATAACCTATTCATTTTTATTTCTTCTCATCTTATTTTCTTTATTTATTTTTTTTATTTCATTATTGTTTTATCATTCTTTCTTTTATGTTCATTTTATAAATATCTTGACTTATCTATATTTCAAAGTCTCTTTGTTTATTCTTTCTTGTTATTTTCTTTTCTTCTATTTTTATTCATTTCTTCTTCTTTCTTATCTTCTTTATTTTATTCATTATCTTTCTTATTATTATTATCTTTCGGGTTATTTCTCTTATTATTCTTTTCATCTATTTTTATAGCTTTTTATATCCTATTTATTATTTATTCATATTATCTCTTCTATTTCTTTTTGGTTTATTCTTCTCTTATTTTCTATTATTTTCATATTTGATTTATTTCTTTATTTATCATTTTATTCATACATCATTTGACTCTCTATTTTCTTATTAATATTTCTATCTATTTGATTCTTATTTCATCATTTCTTATTTTTTGTTCTATTGTTTTATTCACATTTATATTCATTTTCTTTTCTCTTTCTTTATATCTTTTTTCTAACTTTATTACTCCATTCTATTCATTTCATCTTTTTATGTCATCATTTATTTCTATTTTCTTTTTTATTCTTATTTCTCTTCTTATATTTTTTATTCTTTATCATATTTTACTTCTTTCTTTTCTCTTATTTTCTTTGATCTTATTTATCAGTTGTCATTAATATAACTTGTATATTATCATGTTTAGATTAAAACTTTTCTGAGTTTATTTCATTTTGTTGTTTTTTAATAATTATTACTTTCTATTATTTCTCATATTGTTATTTACTCTTATTCATTTTATCATTTTCTTTTCTTGTTTTCATTCATTTTAATACACTAAATTCATATTTTTCATCACTTCTTAATGTGAAAGTATTTAATTTTATTAACTTTCACATAACATTAATAAATTATTCAATTATTCAATTATTTGCTTTCATTTTATGCTTTTATTCATTATTTTATTATCTCCCTTTTATTCATTATATATTTCTTTGTACGAATTATCCATTTTATACTGACTCTTTTCAATTTTCTTGTAGCTTAGTCATTAATATAATCATCAGTTATTATACTGTAAACATCTTAATTATCCATTCATTGTGTTGTTGAATTAATTGTATATCTTTGTTTTTGTTGTTCTTCTTTCTTGTTTGTTGTGGCTATTATTTTATATTTTAATTCTACTATTATTTTACTTTTATAATAGCCATTAGTCATTGTTAAGTACTATTCTTTGTTAACTCAATGAACGAATATATTTTTATTTAACACTATGTTTTATTCATTTTATCTTATTCTATTATAAACACCATTTAGTAATGTATCAAATTGACAAACATAAAGTCAATGACAATGCTCAGAATAAGATAATAGACAAACTTCATTATAAAAAACATCTAAGAAAATGAAGAAGTAATAGAAAAATGAAAGAAAATAGTCAATTTTAAATAGTGTTTTGATAAAAAAGATGAAAAAAGTTATTAAAGAAAAGAAAAAAACAATGAATTAAGAATGAATAAAATGTTTGACTTTTACTGTAAACCGTTCGTTTTTCTTAGTTGTAGGGAGAGAGGGTTGAAGAAAAGTTTGAATGTCTAATGGATATTCAAACCTGTCAATCATGATTATGTCTCGTGGTTCTCCTAGAATAGCTTTCATACTTTTAATTGAACGTTGTGGCTTTCTCCCAAAGATACAATAGACAAACTCCTTTTCACCCCCAGTCAATACTGACTTATTCTGTTCCATCCATGAACGAATTGGACCTATGACATACCTTCCTGATGTTTCACCAACAATATAAATAGGTCCATAAGGAGTAAAGTCTATTGCATCATAAATAATAGGGATTTTACTACATTTCTTAACTCCATCACGATTTAATTCAGATCTATAATAGAGTTTTGGAGTCTTAACCTGAAAGAGTTAAAAGATTATGTGTATTTAAGAAAAAGATAAAAAAAATAAAAGAAACGAAACTTCATAAATATCACCATGTACAGCTAATGCAAGTTTATGAGCAACTTCACCAGAATGAGACTTAATATTACTGTAATAAATGACTAAAGGTTTTGTCATTAAGATATAGACTTTCTATCATACTTTCAAATAAATAACAAAAACGTTTCATCTCAAAAAATCATCTTAAACCCCAAAAAAGAAACTATAATCCAATGGTAAATAAATCATAAAATAATAAAATAATAATGTTTGTAATAGAAATGACATTCAACCCAGACTGATAAATGAGAGGATTATTATATTTATTAACATTTCTTCTTTTGATTAGCATTGTAAAAGGTGAAGATCAAACAGATTATTATGAGCCAGGAGGATTATTTTGGGGACTTTCAGCAAGTATGGTGTTCATAGTAGTAATTGTACTATTTGCTGGATTAATAATTGATGCAGTCAAAATGAAATATTTTGATGTGTGGAAAGGAATTTAAAATCTAATTTAAAGAATTTATTCATTATGACTTAATTCTTAATTAAAAAAAAAAATACAAAAGAAAATTCTCAAAGAATTATTAATTATTCATCAAAATGTTCTCTTGCAACCATTCCTAATGAAATTTCTTTATCACCATTAATAAATAAATCAAGTTGTTTTTGGTCTTGTAATAATGTTTGAATTTGACATTGTTCATTTAAATTTCTATTACGAACAAATTCTTGGAATTTTTGTTCAAGTTGATAAATTATAGGTGTGTTAATCCATAAATATTGATGTAAATATACATAAAGTAAAGATGATGAATAAATGTCTTCAATTTTTAAGAAATAATTAAATATTCCAATAATGTCTTTTTGACTTTCACTTTTAAGACAATATGTCATAAAATAATGTTCCCAAGTTGTGTTGTAAATAACTTCCATATATCCTTCAAGTTTATTCTTTTCAATTATTTTTTCAAATAAATACTTTACTGTTTCTAAGAATATTTCTGTTGGTGAATTAAATCTTCCATGGAATCTACAAATACTATTCATTGCTTTTCCAAATTCATTTCTTCCTATTAAATATCCAATGTATAAATGGAAACTTTCTATATTATCAATTAATGTTACTAATGTATCAATATATTTATTTGGTTTTGTAATTATTACTTTTTCATAATATCTAAATACAACTGGAATAATATCTGTAATAATACTTTCTCTTAATTCTACATTCACTCGCATAGTATCATAAAAATATTTATATTCTTCTGAATCAAATGCAACTAATAATCTTGCTATATTTGGTATTTCTGGTAATTCAGAAAATGCTGGAATATCTTCAATATATTCATTAAGTCCATGAATAATAAATAAATAATTTAAATATAATTGATATGATGGATATATTCTATTATTCATTAAATGTATTATCATTAAATCAATTCCAACTGGATAAATACTTCCTTCCATAAATAAATTAATCATTGGTGTGATTAATGTACCATTCACTTCTATTATTTCTTTTTGTCTTAATTCTCCAACATATTGAATAATTGGTAAATAATATCGAATCCCATATAAATTTTGTTCAATTCTATCTAAAATATTCGTCTCTTCATTAATTTTTAAAAATATCGTTTTAACAATTGCAAGTTTCTCTTCTACTTCTTGTAAGAATATTCTATCTATATTGTCATCAGTCATTATTCTTTCTTTAACTTCTTTATTAATATCTTCATAATATATTCTGAAGAAATCTAATATCACTTGATTAACTCGACTCTCCTCACTTCTTTCTTCTAATTCTTCTATTAATATTCCTATATTCCCTGTTCCTATTAATATTTGTAACGCCTCAGTAATAAATGTAGCACTTTCTTTATATTCAGGTAATGAATATCCCATATTAATACTATCAGTATAATATGAAATACATTCTTCATCTCCTCTTCCAAATATTAAACATGGTAATAATCTAATACATTGAACAATTCTTTCAAATCCTGGTGATGTACAAATAATACTACTCCATTCTTTTTTTCCCATTATTTCAATATAACTTGGATAATATATATCTTTTCCTTTTGCTTTATATTTCTCATATTCTTCAAATTCTTCTTCATATTCTCTTTCTTCTACACATCCAATTGGTTCCGTAACTTCTATTCCTGTCATATTATTACTTATATTTCTTCCTTCAGAATCAAAGATACTTTGCATCACTTGTTTCTTTCCTTTATCATAAACTATTATTGTTGTTATTCTTTCTCTTCCCTCATGACTTTTTCCTGCTAAAAATCTATAATTTTCATATACCATTAAATCTTTATATTCTAATCCATATCTTTCATCTATTCCAAAGAAATAAATTTCCGTTGTATTTCCTCCATATAATATTCCAGTAATATAATTCTTTTGATATTCTTTCCCAATTGAATACATGATTTTTTCAATCGCACAATGTTTTTCACTTGCTATTTGTATAGAAAATATTAACATTGGTGTATTAACTTGATACCCAAACATAAGTCCATCATTCCCTCCTACTATAACTATTATGTCTTTTTCTGTTCTTCCTATAGAAATAAATGTTGGTACAAATTCTTCTAAATAAAAGATATTTGGAAATGGTTTTCTTCCTGATTCTGATACTTCAATATATGGTCTACTATCACTTGCTCCTTTCATATAACTTGGTTTACTTGTAAATGTTGGATATGAAACTTCACAGTATGTAGCTTCTTCATTACTTTCTTCCATTTCTTTAATACTTAATTTCTTTTCAATTCTTCTTCCTATTTTTCCAAAACAACTAATTCGAACTAATTTAATTGAAAATGGTTTTGTAACAACTATAAAATAATAATAATTCTTATCCTTTCCTATTTTAACTTCTTTAAAGACTTTATATGCTCCTTCAATATAATAATTAATTACTTCCCCTCCATTATTTTTAATTATTCCAATAGTATTTTCCATTACAATAACAATTCCATTTTCAATCCCCGTGTCAATACTTATTGCTGATATTATTTCACTTTGACACTCAATGCTTGTTTTATTGATTTTCGATTCTTTAGAATATATTTCAATCCTTTTCCCTTCTATTCTATAATACATTTCTCCTTCTTTACTGAATCCATTTATTGTTCCACTCGGATACTCTTCTTCAACTCTACTATTTTCAAAATATACTATTGGTTGGTCTCTTAACTCCATATTATTTATTCTTTAATTAAGTTCTTTTTCTAAATACCTTATTCTTCCTATTTTTTATTATTTCTTATTATTTTTTATTATTTCTTTTCTCTTTTTTGTCAACCCTTAAATTTTTTCTTTCTTTTGCTTTTTGATTTTTTGACTTTCATTTCTTCTCTTTTTTCTTTTTGTCTTTCTTTATCTTCCTCTTTCGACTGTTTCTTTGATTTATCTTTCTCTTTCTTTATAATTCTTCTCCCCATCTCTCTGACTTTCTCTCCTGTTACTCTATTCCTCATTTTTCTTATTCTTTATACAAAAAACCTTAAATTCATTTTGTGTGTTATTATATTTATTCAATTCTCTCTTGTTTTTGTTTTTCTCTATGGATTATTTTACCAATCATTTCTTCTTGTCTTTGTTTCTTTCTTATTCTTACTTGAATTGATATCTTCATTCATTTCCTTCATATCTTATTGTTTTTTCCTTTGTTTTCTTTGCTTTTTTTGCTATTCTTTGAATCTCTTTCCTAACACTAATTATGTTTTTCTTTCAACACACAGGTTGTTTGATTGATATGTTCAATGACTCATGACTATTGGATATTTAGTGTTAGGTTGTCCTAAGTTAGTTTGGTTGTTCTTCTTACAGATGGGAGTTGAGTTGTAATACAAAGACACTAAGAGAGTGTGATAAGTGCTGGGATGAGAAGTGAAAGAGAAGAAACAAGAATGATGAAATAAAAGACAAAGAAGAAAAAACAAAGAAGAATTAATTATCCTTCTTGGGAGCAGGAGATTTGTTTCCATAAATGAGGATTTGAATAATAATGATGATGTTAACCAAAGCACCAAGAGTGTATGAGATGAGCATAGTAAAATCACCATCCATTTCCTTTAGAGTAGTGAAAATTCTTATAACATTACCAGCAGCAAGTCCAATAGTGGTAATGAGAGACAAAGACCCAGTAGATTTTTCAACAAAGTTAGAGTAGATTTGAGGGATTTTAGCGAGAATGAAAAATGGAATTGTCAAAGCCTGTAAAAGTTCTAAAAGAGATAATGGGAATAAACCAAAAAACAACACGAAGAAGAAAGACAAAAAAATACAAGCAAGAGTATAAAACATAGGAGTAAATTTGTTTGCATAATAAACAATTAAAAGAATAATAATAATATCTTGAGTAAGTAAGAAGAAATAATCAAAATAAGTACTTAAAGGGAAGTTATTTTGATAATGATAATTGAAAGAAATTGCATAGAGAAATGTCTCAATAGTAACAGATTGAAGAGAAACACCATATCCTGTTTTAGCATTATAAATAGATAGGATTTGAGGAACTTTCATGATCATTGAAAAAGTAACAATGACATAGCCTAAGAATTTACTTACAAGAAGTGAAACGTCCATTGAAAAATGAAGTTTTAGTGAAGAAAATAATAGTAAAACTTATTAATAAAGAAAATAAAATGATATAATATTAATAGTTTAATTGTTAATTTTTCTGAAAATAAAAGAATCAAATTTATGATGATTAATGAGATTCATTGTTCAATTATAAAACAATGAATTATCCAATACTTTATGATCAATCAAAGTTATTGACATATTGAAATGAATATTATTCAATTCACAATATCATTAAATTATCTTTTTTTTTTAATTTATTTATAATAGCATTGATAGAATGAATGAGAGAAGATATATTCTTATTCATGATAAATTGGATTATACATATGTATATATTAAATTTAAATGGTACTTAGAATTTACATTAGAAATTATGGCATGAAAACATAAAACAGAACAATTCAATAATGAATGAATGAGTGAAGATTAATTAAACAACTAATTACAGGAAAAAAAACAAATAATGAAATTAATAATATTCTACCAATACTAAAGATGAAAATAAAAGTTAATTTGCATAGTCTTAGAATAAAAACAACTAACATATTAATCAAGAATAAGATATGGGATTGAAATATTGAATAAACATAAAATCAATGGGAAATGAGATAGACTTTAATAGAATAACGAAAATACAATAATTTCAAGCATAAGCACTACTTTTTATAATGTTATTTAACTATTAGAGAATGAAAGAAGTCAAATAAGAAAAATAAGAAAACAAGTTAAAATATACATATACATAACAATAAAAATGATCATAAAAATGATAAAAGAAGAAAGGGAAATAATAAGAAGAAAAGTACAAGAAGTAGCATAAGGAATGAATAGAATAATAAGAAAAGAAGTAATTGATAGCTTTAATAAAAAGAAAATAGAAATAAAATATAAGTAATAATTAAAAAGAAAGAAATTAAAAAAAGAAATAAACTGAATAGAATAAAATAAGAAAAAGAATTATGAATACAACAAAAGTTTCAAGACCAATATATATTCCTCACAAAAGAAATGGGTTTGCAATGTTAAAATCATATGTTACATACTCCGAATGTTTGTTTAATGAAATAAGAAAAAGAAAAAGATATAATTAAGTAGATAATATGATTTATCATTTTAAAGGAAAGCAATATGTTTTAACATTTCCAAGGAAAGTAGTTAAAATATATCCATTAAATGTACCATTTAGTTTAGAATATGTAGTAATGGTATTTTGTAATAGTATCAGTATTAATCATATAAATTTAAAAGAAGGGACATTAAATAATACAACTATTTATTCATTTTCTACAATAATTGAAAGTGTACAAGATTATTTTTCTATAGTAAGAGGAGGGATGAGTAAATTTGTAATATTATATAATCAAAAAAAAGTATTTTTGTTTGAAGTAGCTCCACTTAAATTACAAGGAGCAACACCAGTCAGTACGAGTGAATTTATGATAGAAAATAGTAAACAAGCATTTAATGGGAAAATGATAGAATTTGAAGAAGAATTTACATGTGTTAGTTTGGGGAAAACGATATATTTAGGAGGAAAAGAAGGAGTGTTTGAAGTTAATGGGAAGGAAATAAAAAATATAAGTAAAGAAGTTGCAATAAGAATTGTAAGTGGAAAAGAAAATTTAACAAAAGATGTTAATGACCAAATAGGGATTTTAACACGGAATAAAATTATATATGGAGATGTTACTCAAGTTGGATTTAAAGAAAGAGAAAGGAAAGAAATAGAAAAATCAATCAAACATATTTCAACTGGATGTTATGAAAATGTAATGATGATAGGATGTGGATTTTCAGATAAAACAATAGTATATTCATATGGGAATGAACTTCAAGAAAAAGAATTTAGAAAAGGAAAAAGTAATATAGGGAAATATTTTGGATTAGTTGAAGATAAAGTAGTAATTATTACGAATGATATAAAAGAAGGATGGATAGAAGAAATAGGAATCAAAAGAGAAGAAGGAATGGAATTAGCATTAATACCCCAAAGTGATAAAAAAACAGGGAATGAAAATGAAGAAAAAAGAAGAATGAATGAAATTATTAAAAAACAAAATGGATATATTGAAAAAGAGAATCAACAAGCTATTGAATATATTAAAGAATATAAAGAAGAATATTGTGAAATGAAGAATAAAAGTAAAGAGAAAGGAAAAATAGGAAAAGAAGAAAATCAAAATTATGAAGAAGGAAGAAAAATAGAAGAAAATAATCAAAATGAAAAAATGAATATTCCTATGATAGATTCAACATATTATGATATATTTTCATCATATGTTAAAGAATATGAAGAAATAAGTATAATGTTAAATGAATTAAATGGATTATTAAAAACAGTAGATGAATTAATTGGACGTAGTGATAAATCAATTACAGAATATAATTCATTATTAGAAATATTAGAAAAATAAAAATGATTAAAGAAAAAAGATAAAAAGAAAATTGAAAGAATTATTTTATTTATTGTGTTATTATTTTTTTATCATTTCCTCTTTTTAATATAAATTTGCATTTTGATTTTAAATTTTTTTTAAATTCTTCTAATTCTCTAATAAATGATACACCATTTTGAGAAATAATAGTTTTTTTTCTTTTTTGAAACTTTTCTTTTGGTAATAAAATCCATTCCCAAAGTTCATTTGATACTAATTTCTCATCAGCAATTAACATAGGAATACTTTTCTTTGTATATTGTTTTTGCATACTTCCTATTGCTTTTCCTAATGGAAGTATTTCTTTTCTTATTAAATCTTTGTCAATATATATATTTAATGTTACACCAATATCCCAAAAACAATTTGTAAAAAAGTCATATTTTCCATCTTTATGAACATTTAATTTAATCCAACACCCTTTATACTCGCTATTACTTTCTTCATATATCACATTAAATCCAAAATATTCTAAATATATTTTCATTGATGCTTTACTCATTTTATCACTTATTCCTTTTACTATTACTTTTCTTTTTGCTACTAATCCTTTCTTATCTCCTAAGCTTTGATAAATATTATCCACTTTAATCCAATATCCTATCGTTTTAATCTCTACTTTATTCTTTTTTATTTTTGTTTCACCTCCTATTAAACTTACTTTCCCTTCTTCATTTTTAACTTCAAAATAAAGTCCTTGATTATTATTTCCTGAAATTCCAATATCATATACTATGTCTTCATTTTCTTTTAAATAATTAAATATTGGAATGATATAATTAAATCTTTCATTTCGATACTTTTGAATAATTGTTTTTATTGATGCTAAACTTTGTATTGGTTTTTTAATCATAATTTCTTCAAGCTCTTTATTATTATGAATCATCTCATTAATTCCACTATGACTAATATGTAATTTACTTTTATTCATAAATACATTAATTATTGACCCTATTAATATTATACATTCTATAATATCAAATTGATGTTGTTCATTTGAAATACTTGTATTAATATAAACAAGTGATGGTGATACAGTTGGTTCTTTTGTAACATGTAAACTTACTGTTGGAATTCTGATAATATATGATGTTGGATCTTTTATTTGATTGATAATAACTCTTACAACTTCTTGATAATTATTAATTAATACCATTAGTTCTCCTTCTTTATTAATTAAAAGTGGACTTTGAACCTCATGATATTCTATTCCACTTTCTTTTAATAAACTTGATGGTATAAAGGGATTCATAAACATTGCTTTTGTTCCATATAATATGTGAATTTCTGTTAAACTTCTAATGATTTCTAAGTGTGTTGGTGTTAATTCAAATTCTTCTGTTTCTTCTTTTTCAATGTCTTTTATTTTTTCTTTCATTTTACTTTCAATTGCTGCTGATAGTTGAGGCCATAAGTTTGATTTTTCTTGAATAAATGGAAGTAGTTCCGATATTTTCTTAAGATCTTCATCAAGTATTGTTAATTTTTTTAATACCTCATCTATTGTTGGTCTGTCTTTTGGGTTTGGCTCCGTCATTTCTAGTATTAATTCTTTATACATTTGGTATTGGTTTTCGACTGTTCCATTAATCTTTCTTTGATTCTTTAGTCGGTCTAAGTTATAAATAAATTCTGATCTTGTTGTAGGGGATAAACACATTTCATATAAAATAATCCCAAGACTGTAAATGTCTATTTTATTGTCGTAGTTCCCTGTAACTATTTCAGGTGCTGCATATCCAATTGTTCCAAGTATTTTACTTTTATAATCAGTATTTGTTCTTGCAAGTCCAAAATCTCCAATTTTCATGGTGTCTTTCTCTTTTAAGATATTTCCTGGTTTAAGATCACCATGAATAATACAGTGTTGATGTATTGCTGAAACTCCCATAACTATTTGTTTAAAGTAATTCATTACTTTGTTTTTTCCTTCTTGTGAACTATAATGTAATTCTTTATTTTTAATAATTTTACTTAAATCTCCTCCTGTACAATATTCCATTTGAATACAAATCCCATACTTTTCTGATTGATTGTCTTGTATTTTATTTTCAACTATTGTTAAATTTACATTTTCTTCTTCTTTATTTTCTTCATTTTCTTCTTCTTTGTTTTCTTCTTCTTTGTTTTCTTCTTTATTCTCTATTGTTTCACTTTCTTCAATATATTCATATTCATATTCGTCTTCTTGACTTGAATATTCTTCACTCTCATTACTGTATGGAGAGTCTTCCCACTCGATTTCATTTGGATCAAGACATGAAACTTCATCAAATTCCATTTCTTCTTCACTAAAATAATTTGTGTCATCATCTACTGATTTATCTTCGTCTGGATCATTTTTCTGTTTATTGACCCATTCATAGTCTTCTTCACTTAATCTTTCAATCCATGTGTCATAATATCTGACAATATATTTATTATTATTAATACATGCCAAACTCCTTATTTCATTTTTTACTTCTTCCATACGAACTTCTCCTGTTGTGATAAGCACTTTAATTGCATATTTTCTGTCTAATTACTTTCTGTAGTACTTTTATCATTATTACAAACTTCTTATCATCATTTCTTACTGCTGAATATACTTTTCCATATGACCCACTTCCTATTAACTCAATTTGACTAAAATCTTTTTGAAGAAACCGTGGTCCTTCACTCATTTCTTTCACTTGTATTACTTTTTAGTTCTTTGTGAAAACAAAAACATTAAATTATTATCTTTCTTTTTAATTATTCTTGTCCTTCATAATATCCTTCTTCATATCCTCCATATTCTTGATAATATTGATTATTATATTGAATAAGTGTTTCAATCATCTCTTCTTCTTTGCTTATTCGTTTTTCTAATTTTTGAATAATATTCTTTAATTCTTCTATTTCCTTTTCTTGTTCTATAACTTTACTGATAAGTTCTCCTGTACTTTCTCTAAAACAACTTGTTTTTCTTCTTGGTGGTGGAAGTGTAGGTACTTTTTCTTCTATTTCTTCTCTGTTGTTGTTGTTGTTTTCTTGTTCCGTTTGTTCTATTACGTCTTTAGTGTTATTTGTTGTTCTATGTTCTTGACTTTTTCCTTTGTTTGGATTTTCTTTTCTTTTATCTTCTTCTTTGTCTATAATTGCTGTTAATACTCCACTTGCACTATTTCCTCCAATGAGTTCATTTGAATTATGTTGTAGTCGATTTGGTTTTGGTGGAAGATAACTTGGTTTTGGTGCTTCTGTTGTTGGACGTGTTAATCCATTATTTTGTGACATAACTTTTTGAACTTGTTCTTTAACTAAACTTGTTCCATCAGTAACTTCTGATTTAATTGATTTATGTGAAAAAATCGTTTGTCTAGGTTTACCTGCATTAATTCTTTTTTGCCTTTCAACAACAACTTTTTGAATTTCTTCTGTAACTTTTTCATAAGGTGCAGATGGATGAGGAACTACAGCAGGATAATTTGGGGGAGTAATTCCTGCTCTTAAATTTATTTCTTCAATGTCTTTAAAAATTTCTTCATATGAATTAATTAAAGTAGCAAATCCTTCAATAACTAGTTTAGTATTTTCCATTTCTTTCATTGCTTCATGAGGAGGTGCTCTACAAACAGTAGGTCCAAGACATGTTCCTAAATTATATGCTGTCATTTGTGTTTTTTCAACATTTTTAACAACTTCTTGACAAAAATAACATAAATACCATAACGTATTTTTATTTACATCAGGTATTTTATTTATTAATTTTTTTGCTTCTTTTTCTTTTACTCCATCTTTTAATCTTCCAAGAATAACAAATTCATTATAATATTGAAATGGGATTAATGGGTCTGGTAATTCTCTTAAATATTCTTTAATTATAGCAGCTGCACATGCACACTCTTTAAATTCTTCAATTACAATGTCTTGATCTCCATCTAAAATTGATTTAACTCTTCCTACAATTTTATATGATGCACTTGTTCTAAAAATTCCTTCACTTTCTGCTCCTTTATTTTTCTGAAGATATTCAATAGCTCTGTAAATTGGAATAGGATATCTCCATGCTGACTTACTCACTGCACATCCTAATGGATATTTAAATGTTCCATACACTTTTGTTAATAATGGTAATGTACTCATCCATTCATCAAATTCAATTTGTGATGGACAACAAAATGTATATACTTTATCATAAAATAATTCAAAACAAAGATTTTCTTTTCCTTGTGGAATTACTTTATTTCTTTTGTTAATATGAATATTAAAAATTGCTATACTTAAATCAATTTGAAATTTTGGTTTTGATGCATTGTCTATTAAATATAAATGTTGGTCTTTAGATGTCACAATTTTTATTTCTTTTGTCTCAAATTTCTTATTATATAATACTTCTATTGTTCCTGACGTTTTAGTCCTATTGTGTTGATTTCTTTTATACTCTTTGCTATTACACAATCTATTCTTACAAACATTTTCTTTTTGCTCTTACTCTTTTTAAGTTCTTTTTCAAGTTGTCTCTTTTTTCTTCCTTCTTCTTATTTTATTTCCTCTTTTTCTTTTATTTATTGTGTTTTTGAATTGTGTTTTTCTCTTTCTTTTTGTTATATATCTATAAATATATTGTTCCGTAGAAAGATTAACAACCAAATCTTGATTTTAGTTGACCTTAATGCACAGAAGAAGAGATGTTGGGATTGATTTCACAAAAAAGAAAATCACTAATACAAATATGCTCAAACAATTAGTTAAGTATATAAAAGCACAAAAATTTCTTGGTAGTGACGTTAAATCTTTAATATACCAAGACAACGGATTAACTGACATTTGTGCTTTTAACCTATTTAGTAATCTTCAGGGTTTGTTCTTCTTCTTGTTGGGAATAAAAGTCAATAAATAATGATTGTGTTAATTTGTTCAAACTAATGAAGACTAGTTATTGATCTTAGTAATAATAAAATTGAAAGCATCCCTAAAAATCTAACAACCATTCAACAACTTAAATCATTAAATTTGGCACAAAATAGAATAAATAGTGGAATGGAAGTGTTGTCCAAATTACCATTACTTACATTTCTTGACCTTTCTAATAATAACATTAAAGAATTTGATTTTGGAAATATTTCACAATTAACATCACTTGGTTTGTTTTTATTTGAAGGAGAAAAAAGTATTAATTGAAGTAGAAGTACTTAAATTAACAAATAATGAAATTCATACATTTGATTATGGTAGTTTAAAGCCATTAAAGTCATTAAAAGAATTTTATATTAATACAAATTATATTGAAGCACCTGTTTTTACTGAAACAACAATTTGTCTTCTCTTTCCATCACCGTTTTTCCAATTAACACCTAACCAAATTGATGAACGTCTTTATTTAGGGTCATTAGACTCTACAAGAAATCGAGACATTTTAATAGAAAGAAATATTACAGGAATATTATCATTAGGAGTTAAAGCTATTGTTGTCTCCAAAAAAATCCAAGTAGAATATATTGATATTGGAGATTTAGCAAGTGAAGCAATTGACCAATATTTTGCAAAATGCTTTTCATTTATGGAGACAATAATTGAAGGAGGAGGGTCTATTTTAATTCATTGTCATGCAGGAATATCTCGATCTAGTACTGTTTTAATAGCATATTTAATGTACAAAAAGATGTGGAGGTATAAAGAAGCTGTTACATTTGTTAAAAAGAAAAGACCAATTATATCACCAAATACAGGATTTGAGAAACAACTTCTAAGTTTTGAGCATAAGTTATTTAATAATGGAGAAGTGGACAATGACGGACAAGAATCAGAAGAATAAATAAGTGTATATTAATAAATAAGCAAAGAGAGAAGGATTTAATTCTACTGATACAATCAATTCAATTTTTCGGAGATTCTGTTTCTTTTCATAAAGATTTTCTTTCTATCTAACAGATTTAATCTTAAAATCAACAAACAATGTCATTTCATTTTATTGTCCTTTTTACTACCCAAAAAATTCAAAAAGTAAAGAAATGGAAAGATGGAATAGGAATATATTCTGAAGATAAAAAAAAATTTGAGTTATATGAAGAAGTTAATGGTAAGAAGGTTTGTTAATATAAAATAATTTCATATAATACTTATTTGACATTATTAGCAATTAATAATAAGTGAAAGTATTAAAAAAACACCAAGTGTTGGTGATATAATTGAAGTTGATAAATTTCTCATTGACATTGACTCTGTACAATCAGAAGAAACTAATCCTCAAATTGACAACAAAACTAATTCACATAACATAATACCTATTTGTTCAAGAGTTTGTACTGGCATGAAGAAAAGAAAAACAATTATAAAGCCACTACTAACAACAACACCAAGAAGTTCAATGATAAAGACTGAAAAACAAAAAAATAGTATTAAAGAATTAATTGACATATTTGAAGGAAAAGAAATAAGTCAAGAACAACACAAGAAGATAAATAAACAAACAGGTTGTATTAAAAAAGAGTTAGGAAGTAAAGGATTTAAAGTACCAAAAGCAATGGAAAAAATTGAGTTTCCTAAAAGTTTAATTGATAGTGAAGAAAAATTAGAAAGAATCAAAAGAAATAAAGAGTCAAGTCAAGGAATATACACTAATATTGGCAAATATGTCACTGATATGAATAATATTGTAGTTAATGAAATAAATTATAGACTAGCAGAAATTGGACAAATGTTTTATACAATAGTTGATACACAAGCCATTGAAATGGGAGCTAAAGGAAGAATAAGTATTTGTTCACATGGAGTTGCAATAAGACAAATATGTCACAAAGAAGGAATAAATAAAGGAAGAGGATTTTATTGTTGTCCGGAACATAAATGCAAAGCATTTCAATGGGATAAAGAAGGAATAAATAAGACAGAGTTAAGATATAAATTACCAGAAGCAATTGATCGTAAAATTGAAATGAAAGAATTGAACGTAAAAGTATTTGAAGAACAAGGGATTATTGTTTTTCTTGATGTTGAAGTTTTTCAAAGTAAGAAATTAGTACCAACACCAGAAGATCCAGAAAGTACTAAAACAATGTATTTTATGAAAATTAATGATATAAGGAAAGTTAAGTTTGTTAAGAAATAGATAAAAATAAACAAACATAAATAATTTAAATAGAGAATTAAAAAAAGATGATTTATGGATATTATTACCTCAAGAATATCCTTATTCATTCAATTCAAAAATTTATATTGTAACATCATTATATCATGGACCAACTAAAGATGGACTAATTGGAATTGAATTTATTACACCAACACCTTCAAAATTTAAAAGAATAAATTGTATTGCATTACGTGGGTTTTCAGGATCAACAGAAGTCTTGATGCTCCAAACATTAGTTCAATTATCAATCACACCTATTCATTTACTTTCTAGTCTTATGCAATATTTGATATTTCATAAATTTACACCAACAAAATATCAACCACTACCAGACATTCAAATAATTAAAGAATATAAATTAAATAATGAACAAACTAAAGTCATTGAAGAAGTCATTCAATCCCTTCAAGAAAACAAACCACCATTAACTCTTGTTCATGGAGTTTTTGGATCAGGAAAGTCACATCTTCTTTCAGTGTTATGTATTTTATTAGCATCTCTAAATTATAAAGTATTAGTTTGTGCATCAACTAATGTTGCAGTTGATAGAGTTCTTGAAAGTTTATTAAC